TTTTTTTTTTTTATTTACTGATATGATATGATATTATTTGTGAGTACTTTGTATATAATATATTCCTCTCATATTATTGGTGAGTACTCTATTATGATTGGTGCTTTAGGGAGCATTATTAATAACGAGTACGATAAGATACACACACGTCCATATGATATGATTCATCAAACTTTGGCTATGTTCTATAAATAATACTGACATTATTATTTTCATTCATTCGTGCGCATACATATATTTCAACCAATTAAATCAAAGTTTTTTACAAAGCAGTCAATAACAATTTTCTTTTTTTTTTAAAAAAAAAAATAAAATAAAAAATAAAATAAAAGCAAACAAATGTATAGAATATATAAGTACTACTTAATTAGCTTTTTGAAATGTTTAAAGATACAAGAAATCCTTCATATAAACTATAAAGCAAACAATGAAGGGCCTTTATAACCAATTCGTCCTCAAAAAAGTGAACTTTTTCCCCCCTTCCAAAATGCCCTGTCTATAAGCATATTAATTAGTAGGCAAACATCATATAAGTAACTATATGATTGAAATTTGAATGTCATCTCTCTTTGTGTGTCACTCTATAAATTAATAAAAATTTATCAATCCCAAATGGAATAATCGCATTCTATCCCATCCCAACTCTCCACCTCAATCTCGGGCTCCTCGACCAGTGACGGGCCCGCAAGCTCCATCCACATATCGGCCGAGTCGAGCGGCGACTCGTTTATGGCTCGGATGTCGCCCGGCGATAGCTCCACCCTCGTCGGCACGTAATTACTCCCGCCGCCACCCGAGCCGACGCCCGCCTCATGGGTCTCGCCGGCCATCCGCTCGGCCGCCAGCTGGGCGGCCCTACGGATGTCGTCCGGGTCGGTTCCGACAGGCCTCGGGTGGGCCTCGGCTAGTTCCGGGAAATTGAGTCTGGCCCTGGAGCCCTTGAGGTGAAATGCCGCCGCATCGTAGGCGGCGGCCGCCATCTCAGGCGTGTCGAAGCTTCCCAACCAAATCCTCGTTTTTTTCCCAGGCTCGCGTATTTCGGACACCCAGCGGCCCCATTTCCGTTTTCGGACGCCAATGTAGTTGGTCGTCGAGTTCGGGTTCCAATCCTTCTTTTCCATGCTTAGTCTCTCTTCTTTTTTTGTGAGCTTTCTTGATGGGATTATGATAGTTTGGAGTGATTAATGTGGTGTTATATATATATGTGTGTGTGTTGTGAAATTGGGTGAAGTGAGAGGTTCCAGGACGTTGCATGAAAGTGGATTAAAGTTGTATTACAATACAAAAATGAGGGGGACTAGAATTAATTAATAATATAATTAAAGTTAAACGTCTTTCTAAAGATTTTGCAAGGGTCAGATGTGTGGAGCCACGTGTCGTCATGAGCATTGCTATTATATTCTTTGTTTAACTCCAATACAATACATGAGTGGATATGTAAGTTTGAAATATCTGCACTGTAGTGGACTGTGTGAAGAACATTACAGAGGATAAAAAGGTATGTGATGTACTATTATTGTTTGTGAAAAAAATCATACGCAAACCGTGTTTCTGGTGGGAATTGAATTGAAGTGGAGATGATATATTGGACATTGTTTTCCTCAAATTTAATCATGTCAATTTTTGGGTTTGTGTTTTCTATGTACCAAATTACAAGAATGTGACAGACACCTCTTTATACTCTCACCTTTTGGGTTTGACTCAGGCAAAGAAAGGTTCAAACTTAAAGGAGATGCTACCCGTTACGGAACCATTATGTTGGGGTTTGTTAACTGTTAGATCATCATGTAACTTTCGGGTCTTTAATGGTTACAAATCCTCACGGAATAATTCCGTAACGGGACCGTAACATCTCCCATTAATTAGAGTGTAACTCTACTCGCCTTAATTTTCATTTTTATTTTATTTGAATTTCATAAGAACACACTATCTGTAATTTCAATCTTACTATTTTAAGATTTGTTGTTTGAATTTGGATGCCTATATAGAAATGATAAAAAAAATCATTGTTTGACCAGTGTTACACTACTTATATTTAGTGGCGGTGGATCTTTATTAGGACTGCAAACAAGAAATAATTAGGTATAAATAACATATTATACTAAGCACCGGCAGCTGGTCATATGCTGCTGATGTCAATTCACTGTGGATTAGCATAAGCCAAGCAAATATAATACTATATGATTGGTGTATTTTAACTTCCATTGACTAATAATTGGAAGCCATTAATGTCAAAGATTTTGTCATCCTCATTAACAAATGGTAAATCAGATAAAATTCAGATAATAAATTTTAACCGAGGGTTCATACTAGAGTAGAGTCATTATCACCATCTTCCTCGTACTAAATCAAATTCAAAGCTATTTACTACAATCATTCATGGTCATGACTAAATATTTGTACAATGTATCATACATACGATACAATGGCATTTATCTGTCACCCATGAAAATCATCAATGTGCTTGTAACACGGCAATGGAGTAATTGTGTGTCAACATTTTTTTTGTTATTGGGTGTTATTTCGTGTTGTTAATGATGATTGGTCCCATTAACTCCACAATTTCAATATTATTAAACTTTTAGTTTTTTTTTTTTTGGTAGCCAACCACGATATCCGGAGCTATGTTCGACTATTCCGTTGGTCGACCCGGGTCGCACACCTGGCAGTTGTAGGTGAGTCTCCCTACAAGGATTTTCTGCATCCACAAGGACGAACTCAAGACCTTGCTTAAGCGGCATCAAGCTGTCACCACTTGAGTCAACCCGTGTTGGTAAACTTTTAGTTTCTTTGTACTATGTATGTAACATATCAAATTTATAAATAATATACTCAATAGGATTTTTGTTGTAGATATACTTTATAGTGTGATGTGCTCCACTTCTTTTTGGAATATGTGATGTGATATTTTTTTTGTGAATGGATACACTAATTTTAAATATAACTAAAATTTTAATGTAAAAACAACAAATTATCGTAAATTTTGAAGAGTTCTTTCAAATGTCCTATTGTTCCTCCATATAAATTAAAACATTACGATGATAATAAGTTTAATTAAAAATTTCTAAATATATAACAGGAAAAATGAATTTATATATAATTTTGAAAGCAATAGAAGATGAACAAATCATGGGAAAGTGGGTCAAACTCCACCAACAGGGAAGCCCAAACACTAAACCTCATCAATAAGCCCGCTTAAAAGTTGGGCTTTAAAAATTCTCTTAGTTGGGTGACATAGATGGCCCAAACCCCTATACGGCGCCCTAACCCCTACCTTTCCAATTCTCAGGCAGCTATCAATCCACAGCACCTCTAAAAGCGTACAGTTTGATTTGAGGTTTTTGATACGGACTGTACGGACAAAGATGGAGGCCGTAGCAGTTGCAGCGCCACCCACTCAACAGCCGGAGGAGAAGATTCACAGCGATGTCATGCTCTTCAACCGCTGGTCATACGACGACATTGAGGTTCCAATTTCTCTCATCTTCTAATGAAGCATCACTTTGATTCGATCGTGAACTATTCGTTTAATATTGTAAAGGCTGTTTCCGCTGCAAAGATGTAGATTCTCGAGTTGGTCTGATTGTGTTCTCGCCCACTTCTTTAGATTTTATCCTCAAACCCCTCTGCCATGGATTATGAATCTGGTTATAACATAATTTTGTTGATCATGGCTTTTCATGCTTTTTATCTATTGATTATGAAGCTTAGCAAGATGTGGTTTATCTGCTCAACTGAATCATTAATTGAAATCACATATCGAGGAAGCAAATAGCTATATAATGTTGTTTGTATATGTTGAGAGGTGGTTTACAGTCAAGGCCAATATGGATGGAATTGGGGTTAGCATTCTCAATTGAGAATGTTTATGTGGTTTATTATAGGTTAAGGACCTTTCTGTTGATGATTACATAACTGCAACTGCCGCCAAGCACCCGATCTACATGCCCCACACGGCCGGGAGGTACCAGGCCAAGCGGTTCAGGAAGGCCCTGTGCCCAATTGTCGAGAGGCTGACCAACTCGCTCATGATGCATGGCCGTAACAATGGTAAGAAGATGAAGGCTGTCGCCATTGTCAAGCACGCCATGGAGATCATCCACTTGTTGACTGATGCAAACCCGATTCAAGTTATTGTTGATGCAGTGATCAACAGGTGTCTTTTGGACCCACTCGTTTTTCGTTTTATGTTTATTTCTTTGATGCAAATTCTCGGAGTTGTGCCTGTTTAAAGGGTTACTTCTTGTATGTCCTCTTAGCCTGATCGGGAATATATGTGAGATGGGATTAGATTATAATGACCAGTGTTATGTTTGTTTTGAAAAAAGTTAGTGTTGGTGGGTGTCTATTTCTGAGGTAGATGATGAATTTGGATTTGAGTATGCTTAATGAAGAAAAAGATGGACATTTATGTATGGAAAATAAAGAAATGTAAAATGTTACAGAAATTTCTTATGTTAGCTACTAATAAATCAATGAAATTGTCAATCAAGCATGTCATTGAGGAAATGAACTTCTAATTGATGGTTAATAATCTCGCATTTCTCGATTATATTGTCCCAAAGTATGGATCAAGGTTTGTTATCCTTTAATATGAACAACGGGTATTGCCAATCTTCTTCTAACCTTATTTCTGTTTTGTTGGTTGACAATTATTTTTAGTGGCTCAATGAAAAAATTTCCCTTACTTTCAGCGAATGGATATTGATTTTCTTGTTTTGTTCAGTGGGCCAAGAGAAGATGCAACCAGAATTGGGTCAGCAGGTGTTGTGAGACGTCAGGCAGTTGATATTTCCCCCCTCCGTCGTGTAAATCAGGCGATATATCTGCTGACGACTGGCGCCAGAGAAAGTGCTTTCAGGAATATCAAGACTATTGCTGAATGCCTTGCTGATGAGCTCATCAATGCTGCTAAAGGTTCTTCCAACAGGTAAACTCGTTTTGTGTTGAATAAATTACATTTTTAGTGTATGATTCTCTGCTGAAATTTTGTTTGGTACTAATATCAATTGCTGTGTTAGATTCTAATTTAGTATATCTTGTAACTGTATATGCAGCTATGCGATCAAGAAGAAGGATGAGATAGAGAGGGTTGCCAAGGCTAATCGTTGAGAGGCGTATCATTGTCCAGGATCAACAGTTTTGATATTTTTTTTTTTTTTCTACTTTATTTTTTTAGTATGGTGGGATTTGAGGTTTCAGTCTGAGCTTTCGATTATCATTATGGTGTCATGGATGTTACTGTCGATTAAATTATCCATTGAACCAATTGCTTGCTGAAATCCTGAATATATGTTGGCTGCTGCACATGGCTTCTCTATATTGTTATTTTGATTATGGTAATTTCATTTGCTTCAGTTTTACCTTCGATTGTAGATATATTACATATTACCTCGCCATAACTGACCTAAATTTGGACTTTCATTGTTAATGAATTAGATTTTGTTATGACATGGTTTCTTACTGTGAATTATATGCAATAAAAATTCCAGAAAAAAACAATAGAATTTCCAAATTAGTTGTTAAACGAACCGACTTGCTCGTGGACTTGGCTCGTTATGGTTCAAGCTCCGTTTGACTCATTTGATGTAGGCAACCTGAGCTTGAATAAGCATTGAGTTAACGGGCCAAGTCGAGGTTTGAAAATATAAATATACATATATAATTTTACATAATTTGTCTTGTTAAGATTCAAACTTAATTAGTTAATATTGATAAACGAGCTTTAAGTAGTTAATATTGATAAACGAGATGAACATGAGCTTGAGCTCGGCAGCTTGAGCTCGGCTTTTCCATCTTTTAATTATTATTATTATTTATTTATTTACTAGTACAACACCCGTGTATTACACGGGTGCTTGTTAATTTTTTTCTTAAAATTTAAAATTAATGAGAAAAAGTAGTTTGAAAATTTAAATACATTTTATAAGAATATATATATATATTATTATATATTTATTATGATACTTTTTAGTTGTGCGACTTACTTGTGTTATATTATACTAATTTTTTAACTTACACTATATAACTACATTAAATATAAATATATCAATTGAGAAATAATTTTATTTTTTTAATGAATTTTAATAAATATTATTATTTTTTATTATTATAAAGATAAATATAATTTATTTTTTATATATATACAATATGGATGTCAAATCGAAGATCATCAAAAGATGATTAATTTGATATATTATATATGTAAAACCGATAAGAAATACAAAAGTTATCTACTTTTAAACTACATTTATAATTCAATAGCTTATTGAAGGAAGCAAATCAAAATTTAGGGATATATTAGTCACTTAGTGTCTCACTATGTAAAATTACAAATAACTAAAGGGTTATATTAGTAAAAGTGAAAGGGTTATATTAATAAAAGTGATATTAAAATACCTAAGTTGGCTAATAATATTTATGGAATACCCGAACCTATATTATTAATTATTAATATATTAATATTATTTTTCCAAATCTAATTACGAAACATGATTATTTGCCAAATAGGATTCCGAAGCACCAGAAGCAGCCACGTAGGCTTAGCGCATTCTGGAATTATATATAGGGAGGATTTATTTATTTTTTTTTTTGCAAATTACATCTTTTTATTAATAGAAACATCGAAAATTAATAATCATATTGAAAATAGAACTCACAACTGATTATTAGCTAGCCTAGCAGCACTTTGCATCATGACTACCCACCACACACTTCCTACCTTCTATTTTTACGGGTCCCGCCTGCGTCTCCAAGCTCCCGCCATTGCTGCTACCTCCAGTAATCACACTACTCTCACAAGCGCGACTTTGAAAAGCCCTGAGAAAGGCGGTGCTTTCCTTGGGATGCGTGCAATTGACAACCTTCTGGTCCTTCGGAGCAGTAACCCGACGGCGACGGTCTCCGCTTCGGCGGACCTTGAATCGGCGGCGAACACCGTCCGGAAATTCTATGACGGAATCAACCGCCGCGACCTGGCATCTGTGGAGGGTATAATCGCCGATGACTGCATCTACGAGGACCTCGTCTTCCCCAGACCTTTCGTCGGCCGCAAGGTCACAAAATTCCGAATTTCCCCCTAATTCTGTTAGGTCATCAATTGTGTTTAGTGTGGCTTAATGAATTTAAGATAATGAATTAATTTTCATTTTCCGCTGTCAGTCAATCCTTGATTTCTTTAGGCAGTTTATGGATTCAATCAGCAGAGATTTGCAGTTCGCCATTGATGATATATCTGAGGAAGATGCATCTGCTGTGGGAGTGACTTGGCACTTGGGTAATAAATCATGATTTTTTTTTTTCATTTTTTTTTTTTACTTAATTTGTACCTACTTTCAGAGTACTTTTCGACAATTTGAAGTTGATATTCTCTAAATGCCACAGAATGGAAGGGAAAGCCTTTTCCTTTCAGCAAAGGATGCAGCTTTTATAGGTTGGATGTAATTAATGGCCAGAGGCAAATACTGTGAGTTTATTGTCTTCCTTCCATTTGACATCGCATTAAACCCTCAAGTCATATAATAGATGTTGGCATTGGTGATGATTCGCAAACTTGAAAATGTGAGATTTTGTCTCATGTCCCTAAAAGAGTTGTTATTTTAACCGAGCTGTTTGCGAACCCAACTCAGGTCGGCTCGTGAAAGCTCAAGGTCGGTTCGTTCATGTGCTTAAACGAGCTGAGCTGGAACAGCTAAATAAGTTCATTTATTAAACGAGCCAGCGCGGCTCGAATGACACCCCTAATCACTAGTTTATTTGGTAAAACCAAGAGCCACTTATACTGCAATTTGTAATCTGTGTGCACCTTTGAGGGGCCTTTGTGCTCTCAATCTTGCTCTAATCTTAAGAACATATTTGGTCTTTCATACTTATCGTAAGAAGTGTGCAGTGACTGCAGAATAGTAGCTTGAAGAGCATGATGAGTTATTCTGTGTGCTATTGTTTTCGATATTGCTCTCCTGCTTGGGGTAACCCCTTTCATTGTAAACTTGTACTATCAACCTGATGTATGTTCAAATTTATTCACGTTGAATATTCTTTGTGACACAACTACTCCAAAACATCACTCTGTGTAAGTTTTGCTTCTCGTCCCGCAACCATATTGAATTTTATTTTGATCATCATGAAATTTGTGAATAACAGTTACGGGAGAGACTGTGTGGAGCCTGCAACCAAGCCTGGAGATGCAGCTCTGGTATGAATTCAGTATCTGTTAAAGAATCCTTAGATTATCTATGTCTGATTAGTTTGTAAAGTTGGGTCTTTGTATTAAATGTTTGGTCAGACTATCATTAGAGGAGTCACTTGGCTGCTCGAGAAGTTCCCATCCTTGGCTGACCGGTTATAGTTGTTGAATCATGGAATCGGCCGGTTATAGTTGAAGCATGGAGGCTTTGCCGCTATGTTGTGGAGGTTGTATAATGTTATTACATTATCAGTGGGTATTCTACGGTATAGAAGTCTGAGGTGGAGTAAAAATTAATTTGTTAAATAGCAAATTGGCAGTGGATTATATAATGAATTATTGGTTTTTTCTCTTTATAATTATATTTTAGAGGAATCCGATGATGTTAACTTTAGATTTTCATCCATATAAAGTAGTGATATAATGAGTTGAAACATATTATTTATCACATATTTAATTCATTCAACTACACTACTGCTATAAGGAATGATTTTCTTCTTCACAACTTTATTTCACTTCATATTTCCATTCTATTTCAGACTGATGTCTGTTGCTAGTAGGTGTAATTCAATAAAGGGAAAATTACATACATAAACAAGAGTGTAGAGATATTTACAAGTTTACAATCGGTGCAAAAATCAAAAGAAGATTAAGATGAAGGAAAAATCCAACCGAACCGAATCGAACATAATCGGAAACCCAACCGAACAAAACCGAACAATCGGTGTAGAGATATTTACAAGTTTACAAGTCGATACATTTTATTCAATTTAATGCGGTTCGGTACTAAATTGAAAACTCAACCGAACAAAATCGAAAACCGAACTTATGAAAAGTATAATTGCACCAAACTGAATGGAAACCGAACAAAAATTTCTTACATTAAAAAAAAAACTAACCGAACGTACTGAATTGCATGATTCAACTCAGTTTTTCAATTTCGGCTCGAATTTGCTTGGCCTTAATGAAATCAACACGATTAACTTGTTTGCTTCATACTTCGATAGCCTAGGAATACGGATAGGGGTATGCATATTTCGACTAAAATCGTCCGCTCCGCAAAAAATCATCCCCTCATCGCCGAGCGTAACTCGCTTTCTTTGCTATAATTTTATTCCCTTTTGTTGTAATTTTTGGATTCTTGTTTGTTTGATTTCTTTAGGCGACTTTATCTTCTGCTTTAGTTTTGTAAGAAGTAGCTTTTTTTTTTATGTTACACCTGAAATTGATGTGCTTTAATTTGACTCATTGTATTGTTTCTGTAAAATAAAGCTCCTTATTTTATGTATTTGCAGAAGTGTATAGCAGTAACATATTTCTTGTGCGTGTATGCTAAATCTCTACTCCGTCTGTTCAGAAGGGTTAATGTTAGATTTTAAGTTATTGGTATAATTTGGATTTGTTGATTGGATTATTTTCAGTCATGGTACTGAGTATTTTTACATCAAGCTCTCTTTTTTGATGCATTGATATGTGCTCCATATACATTGTGTGACTTAAAAAATTGTTTTTTTTTGGAAAAATTCGGTTAACCGACCGAACCGACCGAACAATTCGGTTCGGTTATACTTCGGTTTTAAAGACTTATTTCGGTCGGTTCGGTTTTTGAAATTTAATAATTCGGTTAATTCGATTTTTGCAATTCGGTTCGGTCGGTCGACTGAACCGACCGATGAACACCCCTAAATATGGAGGGCCCCAACTTCTATGTTTCAAGAATAGTATAGTACATTTTAAGTTATGTTCTTATATAACATTTTAGGTGTTTTTAATATTTTAAATAAACACATTTTAGGTGTTTTTAATATTTTAAATAAACACGTTTTTTTTTTTTTTTTATATTTTTTGCACAAACAAAATTTAGTGTAAAATTTTTAATTGGTTAATATAAACAAATAAATTATTACATATTATCCCTATATTTTAAATTTATAAATATTATTTAATAGAGCTTAGATTGAGAAAACTCCTTTTTAATATTGTTTACATGTAACATGTCATTCTATCACACAAGACACCAACACTCGTGCCATACGTCATACTCGTTTTTCTTTTCAACACGCCGGCACACCTCACCGGCCAGGCGGCCAAAATCCACCTTCGGTGGTTTCCATCACGATTGACCAGCTCGAACTCTGTCGACACGTCGTGGGGCTCCATCCGCTCCTTTCCCTTCATTCGGCTCTCCCAAACTACTGATGCAGATTGAGTGACGCCGGCATACATTGGGGTTCATTCTATTTGGAAAACCTAAGCCGCCGAAAACCAGGCAATTCTTCTTAATTTATCCTTATGTACTTTGTTCTTCAATTGTTTACTTCTTGCATCCGCCTGTTTTCTGAATATGGCTGCATTCACTGTTAGCTGTAGCATTCTGTTGCAACGGTTTAAGTTTACCGCAAGAAATAGTACAAGCGCTGTTAGTTTTCGTTCTCAGTCAAAATTTCCTTTTTGTCGTGAAGATGTCTGTTCACTTTTCTTGATTGAATCAATTAAGTGATTATGCAATTCAACATACAATATTTTGGCCTGTGTAAAACAGTAATAGCCATATATAGTGTGGGGTTATGGAAAAGCCCTTCAAATTATAGGAAAGCTTTCCAGTTTCTTTAATCTCAGTCTATGTGGTGAATTAGTATTTTTTTTTTTCTTCTTGCACTTTCAGAGTGCTGAAATTTATAATTCAATCTCTCTATTTTAATTTCTTAAATTGTTTACAATTTGGAATTTAGGTCGTGGTTTCGAGCAGCATTTGCTGCCCTTTCCACCACTGACACCAATGCAACACCCACAACATCAAAGAAAGGCTACTAAAAATGTAAATAGAGCTGTTTCATTTGAATCCCCACTGAAGTTGCTGCCTTTGCATCTCACATGTGGACTAGGCTTAGCTTTAGGTTTCTGGGTGGCATTCAATATTTACACCTTGACGATAATCCAAAATTCAGCAGAAACTCTTCTTATATTATGGGTACGTATAACTGAACATATTTCATTCACAACGTCTAGTGTAACACATGCGCTGGCATGTATTGATTTTATTTTGGCCTTTCAGGCAGTGGAGGCTTTAGTCTTGATCCCACTCTACAGTTTGTTTCGCCATGACACGGACCAGTGCTCTGTAATTTTAGTCTTTTTGTTATTTGCGTTGCATTGTATTTTCCTTTAGAATTCCATTGCAATGATTGTCCATTATATTTATTTATTATTTCTATTTCATTTGAAAAGTTATTTTGCATGCTTTCTTCTCTTTTCAGTTTGTCAAAGCCATAGTGAGAGCAACGTTGCTGGGTCTCCCTGCTGGTTAGTGTCATGGAAACTTACAGTTTTCTTTGGCCTCCTTTTTTTTTTTTTTCAATTAAATACTTTCTAACGTTATTTTCAATTTTCATTGGATGGCATGAATAAAGAATTATTTTCAGAATGAGGAAAGTAACTTTTCAGCCAGTGTTTTACTATTATTTAAATTTCTGCCATGGTGTAATTCTACATAACCACCATTATAAATTTGTGAAGGACGGTGGCGCCACTGGCTGGCATGACGGATTTTAGTCTTACACCATTTTCTGCCATTGATAACACTGTTTGCTACTTGCTGGATGGAATTTGTACATAGCGCGACTCTGAATGAAATGTGTTTTTAGAATCCCATTCATTAGCCACTAAATGTTTTGTTGAACTGGGTTGATGATCAAATAGTTTGCTTCAAATGGCCTTATAGTTATTGACTTATTGTTCACTTCGCTTAATAAATCAATTAACGTTAACTAGTTGAATGAGTGCAATCCTAGGTTGCATTCACATTTATTAGCATACAAAGTTGTTCAAAAGGGCTAGCTTTATGCCAAACAAATGCAGTTCGTTTAGGAATTAGATTCTTATGGAGTGTTTGCTTTCAATTGGAAATTGGAAACAACTTATGTTTCGTCTCTTTTCAGGGGAAAAGAATGAAGTTGGATATTTTGGAGTATTTCGATTAGCAGATAGTTGTATTACTTGTTCGCTTGTCTATGAGCATAATGTCACTAAAAATTATCTTATGCTATATATATTTTGTGTACTCATACTGGTTGTGGACTCAGAACGTTATTAAGTTATTGATTAAATGCAGAGCAAAGATGTCCTTCTGAGGTATTACATTTTTGTTTATTAATGTATGAAAATAATATATGCATATTTACCTTTTAGTAAATTGGTAATTTGGTATATTCTAGCAAATTTACGAATGAAGATCAATTAACAGAAAAAAAACGTATTTTCTTCTCATTCTTGGAGCAATAATACATCATTACCTTCACTTTACATATAACAGTATATGTCTTATGTTTTGCATTTGCAGGTGCTTTAGTGAATGGACTAGGAGCAATTGTGTTGGGCGCACCTGTTGGAATTCAGTATGTGGTAGTTTTTTACATGGAAAACTCATCATTTATGTTAAGTTAACCAGGGTAAACCTACAAAAAAGCATGATGTGGTTGGAAAAATACGTATGATCTGCCATATCCTAGATTATGTGAAAACACCCTCCTGTGATCAGTACGCTCGTCTCCGATCTGTGTTTCAGAATAAAATAGATTGCTGTTATTGTTGGTCCTGAGGGAGAGATAGATTTTGTGATTTGAATTGTTCATTGGGTTTTACTGAAATATGTCGTGCTCGTGACATTTAAATTCTAATAGTTCAACATCAACAGTAGTAAATTATTAGAACTGTGAAAATAATGCTAGTCTGTTATTTACAATAGTGATTGCTGATGTCTTTGTTTCTTTTTTTTTTTTTTTTTTTTTTTTTTTTTTTTTTTTTTTTTACTGAATACAGACATTTCAAAAAGACAGTTCATTGGTCTCTTCTTATGTCCCTCTTCACGGTATGCATCCCATTTGTATGATTAAATTCTGCTGCTTGTTGCTTTATTTGCCTTTGTTTGTTTCGCAATATCGTTATTCATTGAAATAATCATGCTCCATTTACTTGGAACGCTGCAATCAGTTGCAGCTGTTAATAGCTTCTTCCCTTGTTGGGCTACCAATTGGTATTTGTTGAAAAGAAGCGTGAGAAATATGTTATCGGCTCGTCTCATGTTGTATTTCTTGCAGTTTGTTCCAGCAGCTGCTGTTTATGGTTCATCTTGGACTTACTGGCATCGGATATTTGCTCACACTAAGTAAAGTTAATTACTCTTTAGGATATTTTCTTCCCCTCAGTTAGGGCATTTTTACTATCTCCATAAAACCATATTGTAGTTCTCGTTGATTAGGGTTTCATGATTTCCATATGCAGACCAGCGGGTTCTACAGATCTTATTATCTTTTTATCTGCACATGGAGCTGTTATTGGGGCTTGGTTTGGCGCATGGCCTATGCCTCTTGACTGGGAAAGACCTTGGCAGGTAATGGAACTTTCCCATTTTTCCTTGCATTTTCGACCTGCTAACTAGCTTTACATTTAAATTATTCTACAATTTTTTTTTTTTTTAAAATAGCATTTCCGATAATCTGACCTAATACGAAGCAGAAAGGAGAATGCTGATGTGAATAATATCTTAACAATTCCTTGTACTGAGATTAAGCATCAGTTGGTGATGCTAATTGCTGTTTTCTCTGTGTACATTGTTTTAGTTAAACCAATTGAGGATATCCCTTATTATGTCAACTTTTTACTGTTTTCCATTATCAGAATACCACAGACGCATTCAAACTACTCATACGGTCCAAAAGATAACCCACACATATCATGCTGTTTTATGTTTGAACGTTGGCCTTGCATTTTTATCTATATTTCTTGTCTGATGCTTTCGAAAATTGACAATTTTAACAGGAGTGGCCAATTTGCGTGACTTATGGTGCTATTATCGGGTACTCAATTGGATTGGTAGTGTCATTTGGATTTGTCGTCTATAACTACCGAGTACACCATACAAAGGCGGACTAATATGGGAAGATCCTCAGATGATAAATTTTTGGTTCAAGGATATGTTGTGATTCACAGTTCTTGGAGGAAGGTTACATATTTAATTTTCCCTTGCTGAGATATATAGCCTAGTGTTTTAATTGCGCCATGTAGAACAAAGAAATAAGTGGAATTGGCTTGTGGTTTTAGTTTTTTTTCCAGTCATGAGTCCAAGATTCTTCTTCCTTGACACTTTTCGATGAGTGTTTGAAAATGCATACATTATTTAAGCTCTTTGGGTGGCTTGTATCTGATACACGGTGTTTATTTTATGCTTTTCCAGGAGAATTCGGCTACCACTTGGGAAATATTGTTTTCAAGTTCTATAATTCATTGTCTAGAAACCTACACTTCTGATATTGTATTTTCGATCAATTTGCTAGCTAACTGTTTCTCTTTTTAAATAGATAAAAGAAATATCATATGAAGTTCGATAATATCCAATTATATTTCAAGTATGTTGAGTTATGGAACTGATTTATGATATTGGTGTATCAGGAAATCAATTGTATAATTGATCTCGAAGTATTGAGTCCCTGATTGGTTATATATCTCTGAAATGGTATTTACACTTTATCAAATGTTTTTAAAAAAATTCCATATTTTTCTTGAAGATAGCATGTTTGTGTTGCACAAATAAATTATGGAAATAAATTTGATGATATTTTTGAATCTATATTAACCACAGAAGTATCATGACAATTTTATTTTAGAAACTTTTAACTTGAGGGGAAGCAATGTTTGTCGTGGTTTTGTGTTTATTTTCGTGTATTTTATGTGCTTTAGTTGGGTCTTTTTATGTTCGTTTTAATGTTGACTGGTACATTTTATCGTGTTTTGTGTATTTTTGCTCTTGTTGTGGGTTGTGTTTTGGCCGTGTTTTCTCGTCTCTTTTGGTGTTGATTATGTCCACGTTGCAATGCTTGGGAAGGCAGGTCATCCGAGCCATCGATCGAGCCGTTCGAGCCACCCGAGCCATTAACCGAGCCACCCGATCATTGTCCGTACCATCCGAGTCGTGCAAAAGAGAAATCGAGGTTCGAGTCGACATCGCGAGCAAAGACCTGCACGCTCGCGCGCCAAGCATCACTCACTTGGAATCCGCTGGGCGTCCCCGCACTCGCCCGCGTCCTGTCCCGCACTCGCCTGCGACCAGCCCAGTGTCCCTGCACTCGCCCAGAGCCCGCCCCACCCACCTACACCCACGCACCGCACGTCACCTGCCAACACCAGCGTCTGCCCGGTGGCTGCCAGCACTCGTGCCACACCATTTTGGGCGAGTTCTTTTGTACTAAATGTGTGTGTTTTGAGCCTGTGTTTAAGGTGTGGGTATAAATACATTTGTGCCTTTGTATTTTGGACACGAAGCTTTCATTTTATTTTTTTCCCAATTTAGGAACAAGTCTTTTTTTTTCTCCCTATGCTTTGTGTTTGGGAGCTTCAAGACTTGATATTTTCCAGCAATTTTATTTTTATTCAAGATTCGATTTTTACGCATTATTTTCATTCGAGCTTGCGATATGAGAGTAAGTAACTTGATTAAGACTTATTACTTTGAGTTTGTTTTCTTTTTGCTTATGATATTTGTCAAGGTTAAGTTTGTTTATTGAGCAGAATCACGTGGTTATGTTTGGTTCTTGGACTTTGCTTTAATTTTCTTGCGTGGTTGAGTGTTAGTGTGACTAATTAACTTGTTAGTTATGAAATTACTAGACCTAATGCTTTTAGAAATGTAACTCAATATAACAAAAACTATACATTATTATTATTATTATTATTTTAGCAATTTAAATTTTACTGTATTTTAAACACTCGGGCGTCTCTATCATTCGAAATATAAAAATAAAAAAATAAACACTCGGGCGTCCAAGGACCTTTCTGTCATTTCAGCTCAGATGCCATTGACCGTACACGCCTCTTTTTTTTGGCAGGAAACGAAGAGAGAAAAAGTCGGACAGCTCAACGAAGGTTGAAAGCCACGAAAAAGCTCGCCACCTACGCCTTTGGTGTCTCCGCCTAATTTTCGCCCTTCTTTCCGCCACCACTTTCTTCATCTGAAGTTTTCGCTCACCGACCGGCCGGCGGTTTTCGTCGCCTGAATCGTAATGTCGGCGGTTTCGAGCTTTTCCTGCCCGCATTACGAAATTCGACCCGCGTTCAGATCGGAAAACCGGGTCGGTTGGTCGACGTTGATCGGTGTGAGACCGGCGAAAGTCAACATTTCGAGGCCTTCTCGCGAGGTGAATTTTGCTTTTTTCATTTGAAGAAAGCATATAACTAGATAGAATTATGTTTATATAACTAAAAATTCTCTGTTTTTTATTTCCTTATGTTTACAATTTTGGTTGTGAATTGAGAATCCTTGGTAATGGCTTCAATTTTGTGATAATGCTTGTTTCTGTGTGATTATGAGATGAGATTCGAGGCTCTGCAACCGGCAGTTAGAGTGTGCGTAAAGATTCAAACTTGGCTATTATAATTCTTAATTTTACTAAAATGCAGATTCATTCTAGTAAAATGAAGTTCCTTGACTTTTTTCATGTATTGTTTCTACCGGAGCTCTTCATTATAATTCTGCAACTCGTCGCGTTCTCATTTGTTGCCTCTTGCCATTTTCATGTATTGTATTCACTGTAACTCTTCGTTTAATAATGTGACGAAACTTACTCTTCGTTTATGTTTGAATAATGTGGCGAAACTTAAAATTTAAGCTCAGTCTGTTCTCTTTCGTTGCGTCTTGGCATTAAGAAGTGGATAAATAATAATTCCAGAAAAAATAGAAGTCCTTTGTCTCGGATGTTTTTCTAAATTTATAACTTGCAGGTAGCTTTGAATCGATTGAAAAGGGTATCTACGCGTCCTAGTATATGCATGGCAATAGTAGATGAGAGGCTGGCTGATAGGAGCATTGTTGTCAAGCCGGCTGACATTTTGGTAAGCAATATCTGAAATCAAAGCATTCTAAAACTCAAGGCCTGGAAAGCTGTAAATGTCTTATAGTTCCACGTCATTCATATTGATTTGGTCATTTCTCTATGCAGGCATATGATCTTGTTCAAGGAGCAGATGTAAGTATGTGTGTCTGTGTGTGTGTGTGTGTTTGTTTTCTCTGTCTTCGATAAGAATGAAAATTTGCCAAGTGTAATATATTTCTTTACGCGAGAGATTCAGATGTTTGACCTAGTTAGTTGAGATTTCAGTTTCTGTTTGTGAATTATCATGAACTGAGTTATACACCATATAAGGGGATTATAATCATCACTTACCAGAGAGGCCATCTGTATGGACATTTTCCTGCTGATTAGTTGTTTAATTGATCTTTTGCAAGATCGGGAATAATCTTGTTGCTTTGGATTAGAGGGCTCTTATTTCACATGGTTACTATATTTTTGGCGTTTTAACTTTTATATGACTGCCTTTGGACTTTTGTTCTTCAGGTGAGGTGGAGTTACATCTTGGACAAGACAGTGCCTCAGCCTCCAACTGCTGTTCTCTTGCACGGCATTTTAGGTAGCAGGAAAAATTGGGGTAGGTGCTATTCTTATATTATGAGTATAATCTATCAGGATGAAAATCGGTGGCGATACCGCAAGACTATACATACATGAAAACAGTTGCATTAAGTTATATTTCTTGAAAATGCGAATATGCAAAATAATTGGCAGGAACTTTTGCTAGGAGATTGGCCCAGCAGTTTCCTAAATGGCAGGTACTGTAAACTTGGTTTAATTTTTAATTACTACCTGGGTTGAAATTAACATGAACTGTGTATTCTTTTCTTATTATGGAAGTCATTTTTTCTTTTAGGTTCCTATCAAATACTGCTTTTCTTTTTCCTTTTTTTTTTTTCCTTCTTAATATCATGATTTCTTGTGCATCCAACATAATCTTTATTCAAACATATGATTACTATTCCAACAAACTTTTGAGGGCAGAAGCGAAGATAATGCACACATCTCCTCTTAATTCAACATGACTCTTCTCCCTATATTATTAATTCAAATCTTAAACGTTTCTCTTTCTTTTATTGACCCAGTTTCTCCTTGTTGACTTGCGTTGCCATGGCGATTCGGCGTCTCTGAAGAAGAGAGGACCCCACACTGTTGCTTCGGCTGCCCTAGATGTTCTAAAGCTAGTAAGAAATCTTGAAATGATAACGATCTCAGCTTGGGACGTTCCTTTTCTCTTCTGTTATTTTAGATTGTGTAATTTGGCTAGCTAATCCTTTCTTATATCACATTCCTCTTTTGTTGGTGTTGTATTCCATGCTCTGAAATGTCTTCTCTTTCCTGCAAAATAAGTAGCAAAATGCAGAATGTTTCCTATATTGCTTTCATCTTCCTATCTACTTACTCTAAAGGTTGCTGAACGAAATTAGTTTTTCTTACTGTCCTTACCAGTTATTATCCAACAATAAGTTTCTCTTCTTTGTCCAGCTTGGTCATCTGAAGCTAACCCCTCGAGTTCTTGTTGGTCACAGCTTTGGTGGTAAAGGTAAATTCTCATCCCTGTGTATATATTTAGCTAGCAATGTACTATAGTCAAAATATATTTTCTCTCCTGTTTTTTTCCTGCAGTTGCATTGAGCATGATTGATCAGGCTGCGAAACCTCTTGCCCGGCCTGTTAGGGTAAGTATGGAGTCTATATTTTTATTTATTTATTTTATTTATTTATTTATTTATTTCTTTTTGAGTACTTGTGAGCAAAGTGGCACTTGTTGATTCAGGGTATGGATAGCTGTTGACATTCGGATGTTTATTTTTCTCTTTAATATGTTGTGTTTTTAGGTCTGGGTTTTGGATGCTACACCTGGAAAAGTCCGAGCTGGCGGTGATGGAACTGACCGTCCTGCTGAACTCATCTCTTTTTTAAACACTTTCCCCAAAACGGTAAGTTGTCTTCGATGCTGAGAGTATTGTAATCCTTTTTATTTTCTTCTTAGACCAATTTGTAGATTTCTCTCAAATTATTTTTCAATGAAGGTCTCCTCCAAGAGGGAAATCGTAGAAGCTCTTCTACAGGATGGCTTCTCAAAGGATGTGGCGCAGGTAAATTCAAGATAACTGTTAGTCAGTTTTATCCAAAATTTTATAATGTTTTTAAATGGCCATAATTTTGCAAAACAAAATTCTGACATCTCCATTTTCCTTTACCTTTTATTCATCAGTGGGTGGTAACTAATCTTAGGCAATCTGGGGTCAATGGAGCATCGTCTTCAAGCTTCTCTTGGGTGTTCGATCTCATTGGTATTTCAGAGATGTATCAATCATATGAAGACACAAATTTCTGGTAATTATGTTTACTAAATATGCACAATAAAAGGAAAAAAAAAAAAAAAAAAAAAAAAAAAAAAAAAAAAAAAAAAAAAAAGACAAGGACTTGACTATAAAAAAATGCCAGATAATTGAATAAAAAAAAAGGAAGAACAGAAAAGCAGATAATGATAGTAACTACATTTAAGTTTCTATTTCTGGTCATGTATGCTTAAGCAGGAAGCTCGTGGAAGAAGTTCCTCGAGGTGTACATATTAATTTTTTGAAAGCAGAAAGAAGTCTTCATAGATGGGCCATTGAAGATCTTCACAGGATCCATGTTGCCGAGGAACAAGCTGCTGAGGAAGGAGGTGGGGTCGAGATGCATGTCCTTGAGGATGCTGGACACTGGGTAAGCACCAAATTTCCTCTATTATTTTATATTTGAGAAAACCGTGAAGTCTTGCATTTTCCATGACTCTATTATGTTCAATTCCATCCCTTTTAGCATATACTAATCATAATTTCTACTTCAGGTACAAGCTGACAACCCGGATGGGCTCTTTAGAATTCTTTCGCACTCATTTCAAGGATTTTAGACATCGGCAACTTTTGTAATGTGCACTGGACTTGATTCAATCCCAGCAATGCGCATGTACGATTTTTTTTGTGAGTATGCAAGTTTTAGTTTTAGTTGCGGGAAATGAGTTTTGAAGCAGTCAAGCTTGATAGTGTAGATGTTCAGAGTAAATGTGTACTTCTCATGAGCAGGGAAATCTGAAATCATTTATGTATAAATAGTTAAATATATCAAGAAGAATTGCTATTCTTCATCCTCTGATTTTAGGACATTATTTTATACAAGGATTATACTGAAATAGTTAAGCTTCTTGGCAGCACACTCGTAATCTGCATATTGATGTGTAGAACTGGCTAGATTTTCTCCTTTCTGAGTCTATCAACTTTACTGTCGATTGATGATACGCCATTTCTTTGTCTTATGTCTTGTTTCTTGTATTATAAATGCTTGAGTACTATCAAACATGCAGACAAAATCGATAAGGAAAGTTGAAAATAACTTCGTTTTTCTTTTTAATGCCGCATCCTATCAGGATCCATAGTATTCCCACTCTCTACTTCATATACCATACATATGCCTTTGCCTATGTATATATATCTTTACCTCCTCTTTGGTTTATTCCGAAATGTCCAAATTGGATGAGCCAAATTCTTTGTGCATGGATATATGAAGGAGAAAATAAATATTATTGTAAAATGTGAGGAGAGGAAAAATATGTAATGATGTCTATTTATAAGAAAAACAATGCCAGCTACCTAATTCTCAATGTAAAAAATATAGATTAATAATGATGAACCTCAATTTAATATAATTAACATCCAATATAAAATTTGATAAATACTCAATTGAGTCTCCTAAAAAAGATAGTAATAAAATATGCTAATAACATTCAATTGAAAATATTGAATACCTATTTTGAGAAAATAATTATTTTTTGTTAATTTAATAATTTTTTAGTGAAAAATCATTGGACAGCAAATAAAGTGAATAAATAAAATTCTGAAAAAAAAAAAAAAAATTATAGTGGTGTATTGTTATTGCTTGGATCTCTTCATGGGCTGGGTAATGAGCCCATCAATAACTTGTTAGGCTTGAAAACAAATTAAACCCAGTTACCCTCCTGAGCCCCATTTTCCGGCCCATTAACTATTACCCCCCTCCCCCTATATATTAATTCAGATATTAATTCAGAACGCCTGAGCCTACGTGGTTGTTTTTGGTGCTTCGAAATCTTATGTGGCAAAATTACATGTTTCGTTATTAGACTTGGGTAAATTTTAATTTAATTCCAAACTAAAAATAATTAGGTTCGGATTACCATAAATATGTTGATTATTTATGGTCATGTTACATGTATTAATTGCATTTTAATATCATTCCTTATTATAACTATTAAATTGTATATATATTTTAAAAGTTAATAACTTTTCTATTTTTTATCAGTTTTACATATGTAATATATCAAATTAATCTTCTTTTGATGAGTTTCGAATTAACATCCATATTGTATGTATAAAAAAATAATTTATGTTTATCTTTATAACAATAATAAAATTATTTTTAATATTAATTAGAAAAATAAAATTATTTATCAACTAATATATTTATATTTCAAGTAGTTATATGATATAAATTATAAAAACTAATACTACCTCCTGTTCATTATAAATGTCGTTTTGACTTTTGTGATTCATTCATTTTATTATGTATCTAGACATTAATATGTCTAGATACATAACAAAATAGATGAATCAAAAAAGTCAAAACGACATTTATAATGAATATGAGGGAGTATAATATAACACATGTAAGTCATAAGTAACACATATCATTCTATAATATATAGTAATATATTTTTTTTTATAAAAAGTAAACTAAATTTAATATAGTTTTCACATTAATATTAAAATTTAAGGATAATTTTTTAACAAGCACGGTTTAATACACGAGTGTTGTACTAGTTTGAGACATAATTATGAAATTACGTGTCATTATCCTGTGAGTTTATTTCTGTGGCTATGGAGTTCACACTCTGTTTTCCCTCCGCCGACCATTTGGCCTCCACACCACAAATTGGCTCCCTTCACTTTACTCAACCTCTCGCCATGGCCGTCGCGGCACCTAAATTTTCTATCTCCGGCCTTTCCAGCACCGCCCCCCGCCGCCACAAGCCCGAGTTCGCGAAGCCCTCGTCCGAATTTCACCCGACACCTAATCGCGCCGGAGTTAGGGTTGTAAAATGCAAGGCTGCCTATGTGTCGCCGCCTTCTTCGTCTTCTTCTGCGGCGGCGCCGGCGGTTGGGGATAAAGGGAAGAGCTGGGTGCCCGTGGTGCCCCTGGCGGCGCTCCCCAAGGGGGAGCGGCGCGTGATCATACAGGACGGTGAGACGGTGTTGCTGTTGTGGTACAAAGACGACGTTTTTGCCATAGAGAATAGATCTCCAGCTGAGGGCGCCTATTCTGAGGGCTTGCTCAATGCAAAGCTCACTCAGGTATATGTGTGTGTGTGTGTGTGTGTATTCATTTCATTTATTTTTAGTTATAAAAGGCAATCTTGCTATATATGTGTCTATGTGACGTCTTATAATGTTGAGGGGGAGGGCCAAAGAGGGGACTAAGATTAGGCATATTCAGTATTTCATGTGTTTGTATATCTGAGATCAATTGAAACACTGATAATTCATACAATGTATCTGTCTAAATATGGTGAAGAAATGTAGTGTTTTCAAATGCCAGTATTTCCTTCTAATTCTGCTTAATTTGATCAAAATTGAAAATTAGGAAGTGCTTCAAACATTATAGTTTGAGTCGTTCTACATCACAAATAAGCCGTTTACAACTTATTCACAGCACGCCCGCTTAACGTATTCAACTTCGTAGCTTCTCTTTTCGCGTCAAGTTTGGATCTTTGAAATAGCTCCTGCCACGACAAAGCACGCCTGCCGAAAGTAAATGTTTACTCATGACCTTTTCTATTTTGAATTGTTGAAATTTGACCTGTTATATAGGTCCTGTAATCAGAAGTCTTTGGTTTGTCATTGTTGCTATGCATATGTTATGCCAAAAAAAAAAAAGAAAAGGAAATTTAATTATTCAATAACGCGTATTTTGACTTGTTGCAGGATGGATGTATTGTTTGCCCGACAACTGATAGCACGTTTGATTTGCGGACGGGAGACATTAAAGTGTGGTATCCTAAGAATCCTGTACTTAGGGCACTCACTCCACCTCTAAGAACGTTATTTGTATATCCTGTGAAAACTGATGGCGAGAATATATACATAAGCATTAACAGAAGCTTGCAATCTGATATGTCTACTGAAATAGTTTTCAGTGGGAAAGCTAATCCCGGTGTCACAGCCTCAGATGTAAATGTTGATGAGGTAGAAAGAGTTTTAAATTTATCATTGAGGTTGACCTAGTCTTCTCTTTGAAAAAAAACAAAAATGTGTCATTTTTTCCGTTCTGAGGTTTATAGTTGCTTCAACAAAATATCTGGAAAGTTTTGCAAAAATGTCACCTTTCACGTTCTCTTTGCAAAAATGCTACTTTCGGTTGTTAAAGTTATGTGTCATTTTAAAACACAACGACAGAAGGTGACATTTTCAATAATATCTTCTTATTGAGACTGGAATTTCTAAAACTGAAAAACTGAAAAAAAAAAAAAAAAAAGAATCAAGGAGGTATTCGTCTATTTTCGGGAAGGTAGATGAAGTACTTCATACTACAACTAAACCTCAAGGGTGGTTTTTGTATAATTTTTAAAGTTGGTGAATCGAAGTTGCCAATATGTGGCAGGAGTAAAATCACTTACACTATATATGTTTTTTTTTTTTCCTTGACAGGTAAAAATGATTGTTGATGAAGACCTCGGAGGTTTTGGTTTCACAGGGAAGAATGAATTGATAAACGGGAAAGCAGCAGCAATCGGTTTCTTGTTGCTATTGGATTTTGAACTGCTGACCGGTAAAGGCCTACTCAAGGGAACCGGTTTTTTGGATTTCATTTACTCTATTTCAAATGCTCTTCAATGATTCTTTTCCCTAATCTGGCATAAAGTAAGCAATATCTGCCCTCAAAATGTTTGTGTTTTGCCACAGTTCCCTCTCTCCTACCCCTTCTATTCCTTGGACTTGTTAATAGAAAGAGCAAACATCATTTGATTGTTGTATATTTCATAGTTCGATTCTATCACTTGATTTTGTTCAGCCAAATGATGGAAAACCACATTCTAGACTCAAACGTGTTGTTCATGTTCGTGAGACTCAATTTCGATTCCTATGCAATTTCGAACTTTCGTTTCGAGAAAGTGCTCTATACCTGGAATGTTACAATTTTTTTATATATAGATTTTGATAATAATCCTGTATTTTTTATTTCAATTGAGAAAACAATTTAGTTTAGGATGGACTGAGCTTAGATTGGCAGCTACTAGATTACAAGTTGTAAGCATCAGACTCAGATTCTTTGCTCCATTTTAGACCTTATATTATATGAAAATGAAGGTTCTTAGACATGGTCAATAATTTGAGCTTCTAAACACCATTATAATTAACAATTTCAACTAAACTAACGTTGTACGACTGCGTAAAAACCCGTCTATCTCCATTTTTTAATAAGTCTTCTATATTTGAGTGTGATGTGGTCCAACAGATCTTAAAAATAAATTAAGACACTAAAAAAATAGCTCCTTTTCAATAAATATTGGTAACATAATGCCTAAATAGCTACTGTTGTGAGCATTGTCCACAGTGAAATCCGACCCTTCAAATCCTACTGATGTTGATTCAACTGATTCTTTTTTTTTTTACTAATTTGCCCTTATTGATGTGCATTGTTCACAGGATTCTGAGCGTGCGAACAATGTGTTGATTCAAACGGTTCGAAACACAGTTGTTGTCCCTATTTTGACTAATTTGCCCTTATTTTTCATGTGAGCATGTCCATATGGCTATATGTTGATTCAACGGTTCGAAACACGGTATGGGCACCAACTCATTCGAGGCCAAATGATCAGTTACTTTACTACAATAGGTCACATTTTGGGGCAGCCCATGTAAATTAGAAAAGATGATGTACCAAACTTGAATTTGTCACGGGCTACTAGCCGACCACTGCATGACGCAACGGATGACGAAACATACACACATATACACTGCCAGCAGTGCTTTTGACCAAGTTTTGGTTAATGTGCATGGTCGGCCACTTTATATTCCATTTGAATTTATTAAAACTAAGGCTGACCATTAAAATTAATTTATTAACAAAACATTGCACACGTGATTTATTATTATAGCTGATCATGCCATTTTGGGTGCTAAAATATTTTATACCAATTAAATTTTGGGATTATTAGATATAGTGGAAATCTATCTGTCTTTCTCATTTCTCCTCTTAGCAACTACATTATATTGTTTTGCCCTAATTTTGGCAACGATAATTTTTTATATTACAAAAATGAAAGAATTGATTAATAGTAACATAGATTTGTTAAGTGGAAAATGCTACAGTGACGTTACAGAACTATTCCGTCAAGATTTGTAACCGCTAGATCACCATGTAACCGTCGTGGTCGGTAAAAAGTTCCGCTAAATGCTAAACACAGTCATTTCTAATATTCGGTTTTTTCAAAAGAAAAATGTGTATCGACTAATAAGATTTCAATGCATTTAATACAAATTCTAATTCCCTCGATTCCATCCTCAACTAGTCGACGAATATAAGTGTATATTTATTTTCCCACTAGTAAAATAAAAATTGATTGATTGCACAAGTTGGGTCCACGGATTTTTTTTTTTAATACCAAAAGCGATCCGTATTTTGACTTTGACCTTTGAAAATATTGACTCCCATATCTAGAGACCAAAAATTAATAAAAAGGTAATACAATTAATTAATCACAACTCCGTTGCATTTTGACTTTCAAATTCTTCAACCTATATAATCATTTGCTCAAATCAAATCTTTCTCCTCAATTCACACCATCATTAATCACACACAAAAATAGCAATATATATTTTTACATACAAAAAAAAATATATATATATATATATATATATATATATAAAGAAAAAAGGAAAAGCACAAACATGAGCTACTCAGACGAGCAGAAGAAGTTCAAGGGCATCCGCCGCCGCAAGTGGGGGAAGTGGGTGTCGGAGATTAGGGTCCCGGGGACGACGGAGCGCCTCTGGCTCGGCTCCTACGCTACGCCGGAGGCCGCCGCCGTCGCCCACGACGTCGCCTTCTACTGCCTCCGCGGCGACTCCTCGCAGGGGAACCTCAACTTCCCGCTGGCCCTGCCGGCCGGCGCGGCCGTCGGGATCTCTCCGCGGTCGGTGCAGAGGGCGGCATCGGACGCAGGCCTGGCGATCGACGCGCGGCTGTCGGGGTCGAGGGGTGGCGGCGATCAGCCGCACGCCGGCGATTGGAACGGAGGAAACGATCGGGAGCATTTGAACATTTCCGTCGAAGATTATCTGTAGCGAAAAAATTTTTTATTTTTATTTTTTAATAAAAATACTTGCTCTGTTTTTCAGTTCTTTTAGTTTCTGATTTCAATCTAATTTTTTGTTTACTTCCTTTTCATAAAATTTCACATGCGACTTATAACGGCGAACCGTAAAAAAATTAAAAAAATGTGCATGCTTAATGTGAACAACGTGGACAAGTGATGATTAATTAAAAAAGAAAAAAGAAAAAGAAAAAACAATTATGAAAAGAAAAAAAAAAGAAAAAGAAAATGTGTAAAAATTGGTGGCTCAGCATACATAGCCACTTGGGCCTTGCGTGTCCACCACGTGTCAACGTTACAAGAAAATTCATATATGCTAATATTTAATTTATAATTTGGAGGTTTATAAGAACACCGCAAAAGGCAGAGCAAGTTTAAGCTTTCATAACAGGAACGCTACAATATAATCACTCAAATCAGGTTTGTGGCCTTGCAATTTCATGTGCTACAATATTGTTTATTTGATTCTGAATTACTACTATTTCTTTGTTTGTTACCATGCATCAATTGATCGATCTGCCTTTTATTCGTTCTGACGAGATGGTATCGGGACTGTAGTATTTCTCTAGTTTCTTGCATATATCAAACTAGTTTCGACCCATACTAAAATCAGTTGGGGACACATATGATCATGTAAAAGAGGCTTTTCAGTTTTGCCACTAAAGATCTTAGTACTGATACTAGAACCGGACAAAAATCGAACCACATATGATTCCGGTGAGCTTAGTTTTCGAACCATTATGGTAGCTTATGTTCAGAATTTTTTTTGAAATCTTCGTGAAAATGACGAAATTTGGCAGTTATAGGCCCTTTTGAGCTTAGTTTTTCCCATTGTCATCCAGTCTAGATCATGGGGAAGATTGAATGAATGATCATATTCTAATTTGCCTTAGTCAGAATTTAAACAATCAGGTGATGAAAAGTATTATTTACCAAGGACATGTTTTTGTGTTGGACTTGTTGGAGATGAAATGAATAGTCCTGTGCTCTTATATTGAACTTACACAAACAAAACAAATGATTTTTTGCATGTGGAATAGGTAAAATGGCTGACCTTAAGGAATCGGCAGCTGTTGCTCTAAGAAAAGCTAGAGATGTTTTTACGGGCAAGGCTGAGGAGGTTGACCCGAAAGCCCTTCAAGGCGGGGATATAAATACAGTGAGACTCTTTTTATGTGTTGGAAAATAATAATGGCTATCATGTTTGAGTTGAAACCTATTAAAAAATAAAGTTAATTTTGTAGGAAAAATACGGTGAGAGCGAATTCAAGGCGAGAGAAAGAATGCAAGAAGTGAAGCTCGACAAAGAGGGTGTTTATGATGAGGCGAAGCAGAGAGCCTTGGCTGATCGTGAGACAGCAGCCGATAGGTACATAATTTATATCACTTTCTTGGTAATTCGGCAAATGTCAACTATCGAGCTTCGTAAGAATTATCTTTTGACCTCTTATTATATTTGATTTATATGATGTTGTCAGTAAGTACATTATTACTTTCTTTTAATGGTTTGAACAGAGGAATTGCAGCAAAAAAGAACATCTATGGAGCAGCAGGAGATGTGCTAGACTCTATCAAGGAGAAGCTGACACTCCCGACAGATATCGTGCGCGAAGCTCGGGCCTCACGGGAGTATGGCGGGCCCAAAAGGGCCCCGAATGAGAAGCTGGTGAAGGACATTGGAGAAGAACCTTCCGGGCCTGCGGCTATGCCTACCGTCAGGACTTCTGATTAAGGGGACTTTGGTCTGGGGTGAAGGCTTTTGAATATACTACTACAATAAGGTGTTCTTTGTAGCAGAATTTGACAACGTAGAGAATTTAAAAAGTGTTGTTATGATATGATTTTTGTTTCCTAAGTTGTGTGTAAAACATAAAGCTGACTTTGATTTGAGGTGAAGGCTTTTGTTTATGTACATACTGCAATAAGGCTTTCTTTGTAACTAACAAAGTAGAGAACTTGAAAGACTGTATGATAGGATCTTGCTTTCTAAAGTTGTGTGTAAAAAGCTTGCAATAGCATTTGCTGTGTATTGTACCAAATAAAGTATTTGAACTAAGGTCTGTAAACGAGTCGAGCCGATTGCGAGTTTTAACAAGCTGAAATATAGAAAATTATATAAAAATTCTCTTTTCGAGCGTTGATGGGCCGAGTTCTTAACCAAATGAGCCAAGTTCTTAACCAAATGAGCTGAGCCGAACTCGAGCTTGAGCTCGTTTAATTTAACAACACTTTGAACATGGAGAAATCACAAGAGTACAAGCCCAACGCACAAGTGACAAACAGTGAAAAACCTGCGGTTGCGATCGTTGTTTGCTTATTTGACCCATTCACACGAATCCATCCTCGAAACACCATTCACAGGAATCCATCCTCGAAACACACAAGTTACAAAGAGTAAATTGCTTATATTTGACCTATTCACAGGAATCCATCCTTCACACGAATCCATCCTCGAAACACCATTCACAAGAATCCATCCTCGAAACACACAAGTTACAAACAGTAAATTGCTTATTTGACCCATTCACAGGAATCCATCCTCGAAACACACAAGTTACAAACAGTAAAAAGCACGTAAAACACCATTTTTCTTCTTTATCACTCATATTTACGCTTGCTCGTAACGGAAGCTCCTTGCGGGAGATGCCGCCTCCAGAAGGAGCTGCAGCCTAGGAGACGAGGCGGCCACCTCCTGAATTAGTGGTCGCCCGGTTCCAATATAAGAAGTCGCCCTTTTCACTCCGCCATTGGTCAGAAGAAACCGAAAAGTCCAGTAGAGCACTTTTGGTGCAAACACTCGGTACAGAAAGAAAATGTCGTACCAGCTCGGGTACTTCACGTGCGGGTCCCCTCTGCATGCCCCCGCCACTATCAGTTCCGCATACTCGTTCACGGCCCCACCCGACACGTGTACCTTGCCAAAAAAGAAAAATAATGATAAATAATAATACAAGTCAATTAGTTTCTTATTTTTGGGTTACTGGAGAATAAGAAAACACAAAGAACTTATACTTCTCTTTCCTCTTTCCACTGCATTTCTGCACCTTCCTCGACCATGAATTTGCCGCCAGCAATCTCGGTTCCAATCCAACCATGTGTAGCCACTGTTATACCAACTTCATTCTTGATCTCAAACCTCAACGTCTCGTAAAAGTTCATCAGTGCCGATTTTGCAGCCTGTACTCACAACAATAACCAACAAACGAGCAAGAAACCCAAAAAACAGAAAAAAAAAAAAAATATATATGAATCTCCAATAATATCAAAGTCAAAAGAATTAAACTTAATACGAACCGAAAACACGATACGCATAAAACTTACAGAGTATAAGCTCATTCGAGGCAGGGGCAACCAGTTCTCTACCGAAGCATTAACTATGATACGGCCATTACTCTCCCGCAAATAAGGTAGCGCCACGTAAGTCGGGTACACATTGCCCCAGAAATTTATATCCTGTATATGTAACACAGTACAATCCATCTCAAAAATCATATTTTTTTTTTGTTCTCAGTTAAATTTGGCGATTGAATTCCAAGCTTCCAACAATACTAGATCTTTCTATGCCTAGACCATACCATTAAAATGGGGAACACAGTCGAATCATTAGCTTCCTCGAAGTAGAAAGTATGCCCGAGACTCACTGTATTCACTAAATGATCCACTGCAAGCAAGAATCGAAACAAAACAAAACAAAACGAAAGTCGAAATTCTATTTCTCTATAATATAAACATCATACTACCACGAAATCGATTAACGAAAAAAAAAACAAAAAGAAAGTGGCATACATCCTCCGAAATAATTGATTGTTTCGTCTATGAATCTCCTACAGTCTTCTTCCTTAACAACATCAGCAGCCATTATCAACACATGTGGGGCCCCCAGCCTCCTCGCGTTCTCGCTAATCCCTATCAGCCTGTTCTCCCTTCGTGCCACCAGTACGAGGTTCGCCCCTCTCTTTGCGTATTGATACGCAATTTGCTGCAATTTTTCTATAGCTCTCGTGAAATCATGTAGCGGATAAGTCAAATATTTAGATTTTTTTTTTTGTGTTTTGTTTACCTCTCCAATTCCAGAGGAGGCGCCAGTGATGAGCACAACCTTGTTGTCCATGTCTTCACTGTCATAGTAAGTGCTGTAAATCCTCTCGCAGGTGTTGACCAAAAACAGAGTCGGCCATGCAAAGGCCAGCGTCAGCAAGCTTGCCGGCGGCACCAAAAAGTCAAGCACCGCGTTGACCAGATCCATCTCTCTCTCTCTGTGTGTGTGTGTGTGTTTCAGTGTGAAAACATGGAAATCAATAAATTTTGCAGAGAGGTGAAGAAACTTGAAAAGGATGTGGATAGATATTGTGCAATGTGAAATTGATAAAAGTTTTATTTTTATTTTGATTTCTATTTATTTATTTTTCTGTTTGCAGAATTTGACATAAAGCGGTAGGAGATGAACACCATGGCTGCATGCAGGGGTGGGCTGTGAACACGTGTTGCTTGTCAACAGAAAACGATTTTCTTTTTTTTTTTTTTTTTTCTTTTCTTTTTTGGTTCATCTCTGCATGAGAAATTAAATTGGAGGCGCTTATTGACCGCGCGTCGCAACGCGGCAAAATTATAATTTATATTTTTCCTCAACAAACTTCTACTAACTAGTAGTAGTGGCAAGTAAGGGTCGATCCCACAGAGAGTGTGTATCAAATCGTAAATTTTCTTGTATTAATTGAATTATAAAAGCGATAAACTGGGGGGATTTTGAATTAATAACTTATCTATCAAAAAATGAAATCAAAACAATAAAAAATAAAAAATAAAATAAAATAAATAAGAGAATTTTCTAGTTCACGGTTCCGTCTACACCCTCGACTGACTCGTCTAATCAATTCTGGCATCAAATCTCGCTATCTTATGAAATTACTAGCCCTAGGCAACGACACGGTCTGTTACCCGAATTTTTCCTTATTTTTAATCTAACCGCGAGACGCTCTACGATTAAATCTGACCTCTTGAACAGTCTAGGAAACGCTTCCTAAATTTAATTCAATTAGCCGCTTTACGATTTAGAAAAATAGGCTAGACTAAGTAGTGAACTCAACCGCGTTCGTTCACTTAAATAGGCCGTGTTATCCCCGGTAGTTACCATCTTCCGGATACCACTTACGAATTAAACACATCAACAATTACGGATTGAAGGCCTAATTCAGGTGTAGATATGTAAAGCCTAATCTAGGTGATCAATCTAAATCAAACTCAACACATCATGGTTAATTATTCAAAATAACACAAACAATTCCAAAAAGATAACTCCATAATCAACCATGTAAATCAATCAAACATCATCAAATACGTAGGGTTCAACTTTCCCGGAACTAGAATAAAAACTACTCTAACATAATAAATAAAAACAAAAGAAAGAGAATAGAATTATCCCCTTTCGTGTGCGGGTGTGGCCTCCCTCCGCGATTAACCGGTTCCTCGTGTTATCTGTCTGCGTTTTTCTTCTCTTTTCCGTATGTGAGGCCGCTGTTCTTTTCTTTTTTTCTCTGGCCAGCGGCTGCGTGCCCTTTTTGTGTTGCTGTGCGTGAATTAATGTCTTTCCTTCAGGGCATGCATGGTTAATATTATCCTATGTTGTCCAATTAATTCCCGTAGTGCACACGTTTCTTTTAATTCTTTCCAAAATCTTAACTAATTGGCAGCCCAAAGATAGTGGGCTATGAGCCCGCTATTTTCTTCAGATTAACAATTTCAAGCTTCAATTTGGATTGAACTGATCTAGTATGGAGCACCTTTAATTTTTCATGGCTGAGATTTCGTATAATATGTCATCCAAGAAAATATACTAATATCCTGAAATTAAATCATAAAAATATAATAGCACATGAATCCATCTAATAAATAAATAAGTCTAAAAGCATATAAGTGTGATCAAATTAAGCATATAAAAATACGCTAATAAATATATAAAATACACACTTTTCCCGACCAATCACTTATCTATGATCTATCTATCTATATATTAGTTACACGGCTACGGTCCCGTTACGAGACCATTCCGTCGGAACCTGACTCTAATACCAACTGATACAGAGAAAACCTACGAATAAGAAGGATAAAGAGATACTCTCTCTTGATAATACACAAAAACAGATTTCTTATTTCATAATCGATAAACTGATCGTACATTCTGCCAGACTACTAATAAATTGAGTTCAAGATCTCCACAATCCTTAACTTATCAAACAAGTAAATAAATATCTTCTAACCACCTTAATAAGATAAATAAGAAATAATAATAATAATAATAATAATAATAATAATAATAATAATAATAATAATAATAATAATAATAATAATAATAATAAACGTGCGAAATATGACGCCTTGTGTGCAACTAAGGGCTATAAATTTCTTCCATTCTCTTTCTCTTCATTGGGGGAGTTGCACACGGAGGCCATCGCCCTACTCAAGAGGATACAGAAGTATTATGTATCTCAGGATGCGGGAGCACGTGCCGCTCCTCATATTTTCACTCGTATTAGCTTTTCCATTGCTAAAGGAGTGGGAGCCCAGATAGTATCTCGGCTCCCCTCCAATTTCTTGTAATCATTTTGATTTAAAAAAAAAAAAAAAAAAATAATAATAATAATAATAATAATAATAATAATTAAACTATTAAACTATCTTCATCATACCTCCAACGGTTACACGATAATCTAACGGTTACAAACCCTAATATAATGGTTCTGTAGCATCTCCCCAATTAATATCTATCCCCAAAATTTTTTGCTATCTATCCCCAATATCTATTTTCAGTGCCAGTTTATATTAATCAAGTGTAATAATATTTTTTACCTATTTAATCCTCCCTCTATATAATTCCGTAATGCGCTGAGCCTACGTGGCTGTTTCTGGTGCTTCGGAATCCTACTTGGCGAAGAATGATGCTTCGTAATTAGGTTTGGACAAATATTATTGATATATTAATAATTAATAATCTAGGTTTGGACATTCCATAAATATTATTGATATATTAATAATTAATAATCTAGGTTTGGACATTCCATAAATATTATTTATCTAACTTAGGTATTTTAATATCACTTGTACTAATATAACTCTTTAATTATTTGTAATTTTACATAATGAGGCAATAAGTGATTAATATATCCCTGACTTTGATTTGTTTCCTTCAATTAACTATTGAATTGTAAATGTATTTTAAAAGTTGATAACTTTTGTGTTTCTTATCGGTTTTACATATATTATATATCAAATTAATCATCTTTTGATGATCTTCGATTTGACATCCATATTGTATATATGAAATAAATAAATTATATTTATCTTTATAGTAATAAAAGATAATAATATTTATTAAAAATCATTAAAAAAATAAAATTATTTATCAATTGATATGTTTATTTTTAATGTAGTTATATGTTGTAAGTTAAAAAATTATTATAATATAACAATGGTAAGACCGCACAAATAAAAAGTGTCATACTAAATATATAATAATATATATGTTTTTGTAAAAGGTATTTAAATTTTCAACTACCTTTTCTCATTAATTTTATATTTTAAGAAAAAAATTAGCAAGCACTCGTATAATACACAGATATTGTACTAGTTATATGATAATTATACAGCAGAAACAAATTTAGCAGAAGCTACAATATAGAAATCCAACAGCCGCCATAAACCCATATTATTATAACATCAAACGTCTCCGTTAACGTACACATGCACAACATAAAAGGACAAAAAAA